TTTGAACCAAACAACCATTTTGAACCAACAAAAGACCAGTAAGACCTACCTTTCTTAATTTTAAGACGTGGTTATTAAAATTAAGAACAACAAATTGGTTCTGGTGGTGGTTCTTAAATACCACCATTAAAAAAACTGCTGGGACTGCTACGTCCGGAAATCACATACCGAGGATACTCTGAATACCCGAAATTTCCGAATACCTGAAGTGGCAGGGGCGTCGTTGGGGTGTACGGCGGTGGAAGGCGGATGAGCGGCACCCATGGTGGCGGCCGACATGACACCGTGCTGATGTTGCTGCTGTGGCTCCTGGTGGTGGCTTACTTTCAAAGTAAAAAAATAAACATTAAGCCTGTTCTGAACAAAAAACGATGTCCAAAAGATAAAATAGAATGATAAAGTTTCTTTCTTTTCGGAAAAGAGTGATAAATTTACAAGTGGATGCGTATGTTAGATACACATCTTGTACATGTTCTGGCAACGTTTGGTTTTGCTGCACCGACTACTCCCTGTTTAGTTAACATTCAAAGATTATAAGAACCTGGTGTCAGACAGGAGGGCTTGATATCATTGCAGAGAAAGGTAAGTAGTTCGTTCTAAAAAATATATTATTTACGAATTAGATGCAAAATTTTATCGACAAAGAGAGTACTTTTAATGCTGTATATGGTATTACGTGATATAATGCTTTTTAAGTCATTTAGATCATGAAATATTTTGCCTGGTTCCAAATGGAAACGCTCGGCAGTAGAGTAAGCATTCCGGTTATCTCATTTTGATAACTTTGTGATATAGTTACGCGTTGCAGTTCAAAAAGTTGTTTCGATTTAGAAATTATTTATTCAGATCTTAGATATACAGTTTTTCTGTTATTTCTTTGTGAACTACTATCTTTAGAACTATTAGCCTTAGGTGTATATAAAGTGAAAGTTGTGATGTTAGGAAGTAGGTACGTTGAACACTATAACATTTTTCATCCCGAGTTATAGTGAGTTTCATCCCTAAAAAATTCAATTTTATTGTAAATCATGATAATTTAGTCACTGGTTTTAATTAGAGATTAGTTTTCTTTTGCGTTTTGAAAAATTAAGAAAATGTCATTTTGGTCTCTGAATTACAAAAGGCCAATATTTTATTTCTTTGGAATATCAGGAGTCGATATTATGTACAGAACGATGGACTCATGATTGGTGGTTGGCAGAGGCATGATATAAGAAGCGTTACCATATAGCATATATGGTAACAACAAGGAGCTACGACGTATGGTAACGCCTAAGAGTTACCATATATGCTTTCGCTTCAAGTTTTATAATCATAAATGACATATTCCATTAAGTTTATTTCCACCGTTGCGAAAAATTCAGTGTTTGTGTTCATCGAGCATAACTTTATTACTATTCTATTTCTAAATTCTACTCACTGCTGTCGTCACGTCGGAACATCAGCTTATTCGTAACTTTTAACAAGTAAATTAAAGGTATTTGAATCACCATACCAATCATGAGCAGTTACAATAAAAAAAATACGTTTGGATTCAAATAGAAACGTATAGAGAATATTTATATCTAGCATGATATAAATGGGAATTTTTATTTTAGTTATCCATAAAAAATAAAAATGCGCCATTTCCATCATTTAGATTCTATAAGGAGAAGTATTTCGGAAAACGTAATTTATGGAAACAGTGAAATTTGTTCGTGATGAAGCTATCATAACTAATTATGAATATAATGGGTCATGTCGTTTTTCTATCTATTGAACGGATATTTATTTCGATATAACTCATATTTTTGGATGGTGATGCGTGAAATGAACGTAAAATTAAGTATTAGGTTACGTGAATCATCAAATTATGTTTTTGGGTCGGCAACGGCTATAGTAGAGGCATATGTACAATTCTGGACTGCGGAGGCGACCTACCGACTACCGTGCATGTTGCAAGATTCAAAGTTGGGTTAAGCCGCGTCCGAGACGTTCATTTTTAGCAGGATATCTATTCTCTGAATGGGTTGAATGGAGATATTGTAGCGTGACGCAAACAACGTCGCTTTTTAATCATAAATGAGCCTTGAGAATTGAAATTTTTGAAAAATAGATTAGAATTTTTAAGCTAGTTTAACATACGTTTATTTAAGAGCTACATTTGTGGCCCACGTCTGTGCTTCCGGTAGAGAGAATATCATCGCAACTATATTTTGATATCAATTTTGTTCACGACATAAAATGTATACACAATGTCAGGCTGAAAATTATTTAGTTGGTATTTAACTTTTACGTAACTGCTTCATTCACAACAAAATTTGGAGTGAATATGTTCAGTTTGTCCCCGACTCTCAGCAGCGAATGGCGTTTTTGACGAATGAAATAAAAAAATATTTACTGGAAGCTATTTATTTATTGAATAACATTTATTCATTCAGAGGCGAGGAGTTGGACTTGGAATGTTCAGGCACGGCAGGGATGGGCGAGGAGGGCTGGTGGGCATCCCAGCACTACCCACCACCAGTCCAGGCACGGCAGGGATGGGCGANTTCCGATGAACCGCGCTTAAAACTTTCTATGGAACTGGCACTTGGTTGGCTGACATCTATAGTGTCAGTCAACCTCCAGCGGATAGCGTGCGAAGAGAAATGTTGAGTTCATTTTACCGTCTATTTATGCTTAGAAAAAGAAATTAGAAATGTCTTAAAGAAACTAGAGAATCAAATAATAGCTGACATATCAAGACCAAGTTACTTAGTGGATAAAGGATCAACATTAACTCTCGAAATATCATGAATAATATTTTTGAATACATTAAATAAATAACATTTGAACGGAAATATATTATTATTGTCATGTAGACTTCGAAAAATTTCTCTTGGCACATCGTTTTTGCACTACACGTATTATCACTGAATTTAATCTTATTCCTCTAATCGCCCATTAAATCTAATCGGTGGATTCCTCAAACTTTTGACTATGAATAATGGAAGATACAGCACACGATTATGACATCGTTGGCGCTCCAAGTATGAACGCGTTCAAGAACAGACTAGATAAAGCTATGGAAAAATATATGTTCAGATTTGAAATGCCTAGCACCTTATCGAACCCGGTGGAAGTCTAGTAGCTACTTCAAACTATCATCAACCATGAAAAGATCCGGTAAAATGACACGAGTTTAGATCTATAAACAAGGCACGAAAAGGAAAAGAATCGGCGACATCACTATGTGCCGACATCACTATGTTATGTTATGATTATCATCATTTATTTTACACATGAACAATATTCGTATCTTCATAAAACGTCATTGAGTTACCCCTCAAATTCAAGACCCTTTAAAGTTCCATGTAACAAACGAACCTGCGTGGTTCCGGTTTCTCAGCATACACATCGCTCTATTAGCCAAATTTATGACGTGACAAAACAGAAAAGTTAAAATTCTTTATCCTTTTTAATATAATGCATATTAATTATCAGGAAGGCACGCAAGAAATTTGTCCTGGCAGAATTTTAGTGACGCGAGGGTTCCTCTTGCGTTAGTTATGTTATCCATGGAATTATTAGCGCGCAAATTTCTCCACAACCGATGCATAAATGTGGAATAAACAGTTGTGTGAAAAGTTTCAAATTCTTCAAAACAAATTCAATCGAATAAATCGCAACAACCTGTAACTTTCGTCGATAAATTCGATTTTATATATATACTATTTTATTTGCATCATTATTATTCAACATTTTAGATGGTGCTGCCATGATTTGACAGTGATCTACAAAGTAATACCATGCCTTAAAATAAATGGTTTAAATTTTGGTGGATGCAAATATCCATTATTAATTCAATTTGTCGAATAATAATGCATAAGTGGCTTTAGGTCGACGCTATTTGTGAAGGTTAATATAAGCAGCGGTGTGCCTATGCCCATAATTACGGTGCAACATTTTCTCTTGGTAGCAGTTCAAATATATGAAGTTTCTGCTGCATCGGATGAAAGACATCAATATGACCAGTCCGACAATTGCGCTGTCACTTCGCAGGTCCAGAGGCCGGCGCTGATCCTGCCGTAATCCGGCTCTGAGGCTGAGGTAAAAACCATTGCTGTTTACATCAGATATCTTATGGAGTTGGAACGCATTTTAATAAGACTGCATACAAGCGCTCGTTGCCAGGTTACTGCTTGCAGATATCGTCAGACATTATTTATTTATTGCAAGGGGAAATTCACACTCGCATGCGTTGGTAAGAATTGGCGCTATTAAGGAACTTTCGTGCTTCCTTAGACGAGAGTGAAAGATGATTCGATACAGGAACTTTATTGGTTCAGAAGTGGTTTCTGTAACAAGTGGAAATATAACAAGACATTTACTTCAATCGCGGTATAATAACTGGTATATGTATCAACTGCGGTTTCAATTACCTAGTAAACAAGTAAAAATCGGTAAAAATTGACATTGGTACAAAATAGACTATATTCAAACAAGAATCTTACCGAATCATCGGGAAAACTAGGTTGCTTAGAGACGTAGGAAATTCGAGGTCGTAGTACTAAATTGCAACGTTATACAAATCCAACTGAACGTGACGAGAACCATATCACCTTGCATCGGACATTAAGGATCGAACCGATTTGCTATCAAGAGACCTCAACAGGCGTAATCTGGTAAAAATATTGAAATTTATCCATCACGTGGAGTCAATAGAGTTACAGTCAAAAGAGTTACAGCCAGTAGATTTGCAGTCAAAAATTACAGCCAATAGATTTACAGTCAAAAGTTACAGCCAATAGATTTACAGTCAACCAAGATTGTGAACAAAGACTATAGGAAACAAGGCAGCTTGCCTGTAGCCCAAGGTTGCGGATTTATGGCGATTTTCCCATTATTTGCATAGTTAACATATATTTTGTCGGTATATAGTATTATTTTATCTAAAACTTCAGCAAAATGAGAAATTCTTTGAATAATGCAGATTATATTATGAATTTGATATATTTGTAAAAAATGTACAAGTTGGTCTAAAATTTCATTATATAAAACATAACTTAGTATAAAATATCGAAGGCGTTCGATAGTCATCTCAACGAGGTTACCAATGAACGGGTTAAGACCGTGCTAATAATAGGCAGGAAAATAAAAGCAGTGTAACTATATTCTGTTAGTTTATGCTGGTAGGCGAGCGAGAGAATAATTTATTAAGAGAAATGAGAGGAAGGCGAAAACTGTATCGGGTGAGAAGCGTGCAAGTGTATAAGTTTGTTGGTGGAGTTTTAGACGAGGTCATGTATAATAAATGTGCACAGGAGAGACCAGAGAAAACAATGTATGTCAATTGAATGCACTGAAAACTTCAGTGCACAATAACAACAATAGTTTAACTGAAATGGAAACAATTCTTCCAAGTTCGAGGTAATCCATTTCCTATATCCTAATAAGTAACAAAAATAACATCCCCATGAGTTTCAAGTTTTTCTGGACGAAACCTACGTTACAAAAATATGATATATAATAAAGAATATCAAATAGAATAACCTCTACATAAACAGTAATCAGACTTTTATCTTCGTTGAAATGACAATTAGAAGTTCATATTGTCAGTGCAATTTGATGCGGTCACAATACGTGAATTTGTCTCCAACATATTCATACTTCCCATGAACAATGCATCATTGATTAATTTTCTAGAAATGGTTGCCTGTGTTTTATTCATGTTTCTAATTTGCGTAGCCACCACTACGCCAAATGCTGATAAGTCATCATCATCATTTTTCTTCTCCGTCAATTTAGATAACGCAACCTGAATTAACTCATCAGTTGGATCTATCTTCCTTTTCTTTTGAGTGAGATTACTCGTTTTTTGCATTGGTGTGAGTATTAAAGCTTCTGATGAAGTAGTGCTTGGCAACGCAGTCGCGGTTGACTGCAAACTTTCAGGCAGAGAAGGAGTATTTGATCTAGAAGGAGAAGATGGTGTTGAAGGGGTTGTTGCTTCCGTGAATGTATCATCAAAATACTCTTCATGCGGAATAGTTTGGTCCTGATCACCTTCTGTTCCCTGCAAATAAATATCATATGTTAATAAATCACATATTTAGAAATTAATAGTTTCTGTATACTTTTCATACACCACAAACCGAGAATGAACGGCTACGCATTGCTGAGGAATATGAAACTCTCTGGAACTTCCCGCATTGCATTGGCTCAGTTGACGGGAAGCATATCAATATAAAACCTATGAACAGTGGATCTTATTATTACAATTACAGAAACACAAACATCATTGTGCTTATGGTAGTGGCCGACGCTAACTACGACTTCATTTATGTTGACGTAGGGTGCAATGGATGTGTTTCAGATGAAGGAGTGTGGGGAAATTGTACTTTAAGCAAGAGACTGCAAGCAAAAACCGTAAGAATGCCTCCCGACAGTGAAATGCCAGGGAGCCACAGAGTGCTACCATATGTGCTTTTGGGCGATGATGCCTTTCCACTAAAAACCTGCCTATTGAAACTTTACCCGCATAAAGACCAGACAGATCAGCAAATAATAGCCTCGTACAGGATGTCAACAGCACGCCGTGCTGTTGAAAACGACTTTGTATAATGTTTAACAGGTTTAGAATATTTTTGACTACTATTAAATTAGAACCGTCGAAGGTCGACAAAATAGTATTGGCCTGTACTACCTTGCACAACATGCTCAGAAAATACTCTTCGGATGGCTATCGCCCAGCTGGCTCAATTGATTATGAGATTTGATTTCTAAGTAGATTGATTTGTGAGTAGATTTGTAAGTATAGGGATATGGAGAGATCTACAATTTCAGGGCCTACAGAGGATCAGCAGAAGGACGGGAAATGAAGTACGTGTCAGCACAGTTTATGGAGTATTGCAATGAAGGAGCAGTATCACAGTTTATGGAGTATTGCAATGAAGAAGGAGCAGTATCACAGTTTATGGAGTATTGCAATGAAGGAGCAGTATCACAGTTTATGGAGTATTTCAATGAAGAAGGAGCAGTACCTATCACAGTTTATGGAGTATTGCCATGAAGAAGGAGCAGTCTCACAGTTTATGGAGTATTTCAATGAAGAAGGAGCAGTATCACACTTTATGGANCTCACAGTTTAAGGAGTATTGCAATGAAGAAGGAGCAGTATCACAGTTTAAGGAGTATTTCAATGAAGTAGGAGCAGTATCACAGTTTATGGAGTATTGCAAGAAGGAGCAGTATCACAGTTTAAGGAGTATTGCAATGAAGCAGTCTCACAGTTCATGGTGCATTTCAATGAAGAAATAAAATAAATAATTAACGCAAAAATAACTTGCATCATTTGAAACCTGAACGTCTTCGTCGAGTGTAGACGTGGACTGACGATGAGCATCGATGTCATTGATGAACATCAATGATTCAAAGCACCAGAGTTTCGGTGTGTACATTTGGTCAGCACCAGCGCCAGATTCCGTTGATTCTCGTATTAACTTCATTTCACGATGGAATTGCGAACGTAATGTATGAATTTTCTTGCGAACCTCGGCAACAGTGACTTGTGCACAAAAGTTTCTTAAAACTCCAACTATTTTTACCATAGCTTTTTCTTTTGCAATTCGATTTTTATATTTCTTGGACGTAACTCTCCATAGGCATTCGTGGTCTCTATAAAGATCGATTAACCTCTCTACTAGAGAGTGAGTCCAAACCAGTGGTTCTTTAGTTGACATATTGTTGTTATACGTGTAAAATGTTGAAGCTTCACTTGTTCCTGCGACATTGTTACGGGGATAGTTATTTCTAAATTTTCTTATGTCAGAGATTATGGATATAACCCGTGCTTTCAGCTCCAATGTTTCTTCTTTGGTAAAATCTTTAACAAATGATTTCAAAGACCTGAAAAATAATCCTATCTCATCTGATCCGCTGTCATCTGGCTTCTTAAGGTAGTCAGGTATCTGCATATCCATAGGTCTTGATTTCTTAGGTTTTCTATCAATTTTCGAAGAAAGTTGAACTTTTGTTTCATCTTGGTTATTATTAGTAGGTGTTGGATTATTTGAGGCATTTTCTGCGGCATCAAAAGTCTTCAACAGAAATTGCATTTGCGGGGCATACAAGTATGGGCGTACATGTTTGTTTGTGCCTGATCCAGATGGAGTATTTCGAATTAAATTTTGATTCTTTCGGAAAGCATCACGCAGGGTTTTCCATTTCGTCTGAAGTTGTTTAGCTGAAACAAAACAAAAAAGAGTAATATTATGCAAGAAATATCTAACATTGCAAAATATTTTTCTTTCTTTATTTTATATTATATTTTTATTTTAAGATACCTTGCCACTGGTTATGACAGCTCTGTATTATTTTATTGGCTAGGCATATCAACCATAAGTGGAGCAATCAGGGAGATATATATTGAAACATGGCAAGCATTGCAAGCCAAATGCTTTCCACTGTACACGGAGAATAGGAATATCATATCAAAAGGCTTTGAGAAAAATTCAAATTTTTCCAATTGTTTAGGGGCCATAGACGGCAAACACATCCGACTTGTTTGCCCTAATAATTCAGAATGAGTCTAAGAAATTGATGAGTCTAATAAATTAGCAATTGATATTGTAAAAGCCTATTGCATGCTGCACAATTTTGTTAAAAAAACTGACCCAGAGGTTATGACGTTAGTAATAGCAATGAATTACAAACTATTGCAAATATTGGTCACCAACATAGAGGAAGAGGAGCTAACCGCATCAGAGATATGTTTGCAATTATTTTGCAAGCAACAATGGTTCAGTGACATGACAAAACAACTCCATATGATCTGCAAATATTTATACTCACCAACATTATTTTTTGCTTCGTCATCTTTGATTTCTGCATAATTTACTGTAACCTCTTTGCATATGGTCTTCCATGCATTGACTTTTTCAATCTTATCTGTGTAGTCGCTGCAGGCCGTATCCCAAACTGCAGGGTGTTTTTTAACGGCTAAAATAAGCTTTATATTGTCACTTGAACTCATTGTTGAACCTGAAAAGAAATGTATTTCCCAATAAAAATATGTTTCAATGTTCCCAAACTTGTCATTACAAAATTCATTAATTCATTCAATAACAATAAGAAATGAGTTTAATTATCCTTACCTCTTCTAGAAGCAGGAGCTGCACACACCCTCGACGACCCACTGTCTGAACCACACTAGGATGTGGTGTCAAAAACCGCTTAGTGTGAAAGATTACACAGAATATCATTTAAAGCTAAACTGCTGTGGCAAATCTACCACAGCAGTTTTAGCAGCACACAGACAGGCATCAGGCATCAAATTCTACGCTGCATTAAAATCTGTTTTGTGTGAATAGCAGTGTACATTATGTATGTCCAATGAGGTTTGCTGATGAATATAGTTGTGTTTTTTTATTCATGCAGTATTTGCCGCCCCATGTGAAAGAAGCTTAACTTCACTGGCAGGCAAGGTCACAGAACTCATATTGCAATGCACTGCTGATCATCAAATAATAAATAGATCCTTTTTATGACAAGATCCTTACTTGCTCGCTGGCAAACAGAATCAGTACTGAACATAATTACTCTTGAATAAATTAAAACAATACGCAATTAATACATAGAAAAGCAAAGAAGAAAAGAAATAATGCAATGCATTCATTCATTGAAGAATATAAACATATTGCACAATTATATACAAGTCCACAGCATGAATGTCCCGATGCCAAATACAAATTACCAGCTTCAAACTTTATTTGCAGGATAATCTCACACAAATTTGAGGAATAAAATTCCTCAAGCTTTGGGAGCTTCTTTGCCCTATTGAAAACCAACTATAAAGGTACAAATATTGATATGTGAATTTTATGCTTTACAATTCACTAATGCATATGATGAATTTACCTCTTTTTCACTACTGTCAATTGGTTCCACCTTCACAGCCATGTCCTCTCCTCCATCTTGAGGCTCCTCCTTGATGTAAACTGCCACCATTTCCTGGGGAGGAGATGAGCCACTGGCCTCTGTAGCTGAATAAATTGACATAGAACATCATGAATAAACTTGAACATGAGACATTAATGCAAGTGACAAACAATGTGTCACTGCTTCCACAAAATTTGGAGCAATATCTTCAAGTTAACTCAATCTTTAAACTTTAATTTAATCATCACAAGAATATTATTTCCAATTTTACTCAATTATGAGCAATTTATGAATCCCTTAAAACTACAGCTCACCATCAGACTCAACTTTGCAAGATTCAGAAGACATTTGGGTGCTCAGCTCAGCATGCCAGCCACTGTTGACTGCATCATCAGAGACATTGTGCATGCCTTCATTTATTCATCATAATACTGATCGAATTTTGCAGGTTTCAAGTTAAACTGAAGTTTATTTGTAATCAAAGTCCAAGTATTAATTGAAAGCAACTCAAGAATCAGTGACCTTATTCTGTGAAGACATTTTTGGATGTTAGAGAAAGAACAAGTTTGTATGCAGTACACTGGCATTATTTAGAGTTAAAGAGTCAGTGCAGCAAACTTTGAGTGGAGCATTGAGTCCTGGGGACAGCATGCACCACTCTAGATTATTTAGGGGTTAGTTTGACATTACTCTAGATTGTATTCTAGATCACCACTCTACATTATTTAGGTGTTTGATAGTGAGACACTTGATACAGACTATAACATCTCCATTGGGCTGAATCAACTTCTGTGGAATTTTGATTGATTAGTCTTGCTTCCTAATATTCATTAATAGTGCATTTAGGACACTACAATAAATATCAAATAATCTATAAAGAAATTTCTAAGTGTGTGAGCTTCAGATGTTTCATTTTGATGATAGACCTAATTTCAGCAGGCCCCTAAAAAGGCCCCTGTTTTCTTACTTTTTGCAAACAATATGAAAAGAAGAGTGGTAAATTTTGGATAGTTAGGATGAGCAAGACTGCTTATTTTATTTAGATTAATCAATAAATACAGATGATAGATATGCTAAAATAAAAAGTTTCATTTCCTCTTTAAACTTTTGAATATTGCTATCATTGATGATGCAATTTTTTCAGAGATAGAGTATAAGCAAACCCAATTTCAAAATAAAATAATTCATCAAGTAATGGCAAGTCATTCAATAATTGTGGCTTCAGGATTAAGTCCATAGATACACCAGATATAATTTATGGGCATACTGGGATTTGGAGGAGGGATTTTTGTGGGTTTAATAATGACTAAGTGAGTATTTCCATGGAATGCAATGGATATTATTGCTGGCTGTGGGTTATAAAAATTTGTATTTAAATCCCTACAAATGATTGTTTTACAAATTTACTTAATATTTTAAAAAACTTCAAAGTGGGATAGCTCATTGAAACCTTGAATGTAATATACAAAAGAGGCTGATATACACATAATACAGAGATATCAAGCAGCAGACTGCCATATATAGTCATGAATTCATACTCACTTTTCACACACAAAAACACTATCTACCAAACACTGGCTTTGTTATCAACATTGGCAGTTAGGGATGAACATTAGTAGCAAGCTTGGCATAATACCACAATCACTAATATATTTCTTTCTGCGCACAAGCATGCTATAGGGTAGATCAGCCCAAGTGTTTAAACCCATAGAGCCATAAGTCCACATCTACTGCTAAAGTCAGTACAGTCTTCAAGAAGTTGCAACCTCAGCCTGGCCCTACCTCTACATTTACATAAACTATTCATCCAAATCAACTTAACTGAATATAACCTAACCTCATTGGTTGCAGCAAGGTGGAGAGGTGAGGAAGTGCAATGGTATGGGGATGCTGTGGTTACAAATCCATAAGACTATACTGACTGTAGAAGTCACCCCGGATATACTGCACCATGGCTTCAAGCCATCTTTGGAACCAGTGTGGCATGCAGTTTTTCTTGCTTGGTTTGCAGCTTTATAGCTCTGAGGCTAAGTGAAGCTGTGCAGGTTTAGGCTGTGCATTACTTACAGGACTGGTTCAGGAGTAAAATTTGTGAACAATGACAGCACTCCAGGCAGTTATAACACCCCCTTTAAAGTTGCAATGAATGCTAAATTTTTTTGGAAAAACAGAATTACTGAACAACATATGAGTTTGGGCTAAGCCTTATTTGCTTTCACAAGACAACCATAAGTCACTATATAGTCAAATGGGGTAAGACAGGATCGCAGCCTTCATGGGGTAAGAAAGGACCGGCCCATGGCATGCATTCTAATTGCACTGAATTTAATTTGTTTTTTTAATCTGTACAGAAAACTATGTTAGATGCAAAATGTCTGAGTTGTAGCTTAGAGGCGTATTGCATAACTACACCTTGTGATAGGTTTAGGGTTTTTTAGATATTCATGGTACAGATGCTACAGGCTTGTTAGTGATTTTGGTCCTGTCTTACCCCATCTGACTATACAATACAATGAATTATTCACAGTTTTTCCACATATGGTAGTTTTAAGATTAACACAAACAAATTAGGAAGATTAATTTCTGGCTGGAAAAATTGTTTGCTTAGTCTAAAAAAATATAACTCAGTACCCACTGCAGTGAGTGAGAGCGTATTTTCTTGTCAACAAAAACGAGAAGTCACAGACATACCCATTTCTATATACCAAGAAGAAGAGAAGTAACCCATTTCTATATACCAACTTCAAGTCAAAACTGTCCCATACCATTACCTGCAAGTGCAACATCAAATATTCTATGATTTTACCAGCTTCAGCTTTGTTCTCAGCAGGCAGCAGTGATGATCTTCATTGTTTATAGTAGCCAGTGAAGAGTCACAATAAATAAAATGAAATAAAGAAAAACAAATAAAATCTTACTTCTACACTCCCATCTGCCATGCTGATCAATGGGAAAATTCGTTCCCATTGACATTCTTCTCTCTTCTTTAGGACAAATGTAAGAATTGTGAACAAGAATTAGGCATATGCATATCCATTCCCACAGTCAGGAAGGTGTGCCAGGTGCTAGGGAATATATATTCTATTTTTTTTTTCATCCGGAGGGTATGCCAAAGTAGGTAGAGAAGAAATAGGTTGTATACCATGCAGGGAATATACCTATTTAATTTCTGAAATAGGGCTATCCAGCCATTTTCAGAGCCATAGGATTTAAGCTATCAATTTTTATTGAATTGTTAACAAAAGTGCAGATTGAGATTGGGTCAAGACTCAAGAGGCTCTAAAGTTTTCAAAACTAGGCAGGTATGTCCCTTGAAGCTGTAGAATTTCAGTATTATGGCTAAAATTTTCAATCTTGCTGTATACCAATAATAGTTAAAATACCTAATTTCAGTCAGGCATGGAATATATCTACTTGGCAAGCTGCAACTTGATTTTTCAAGCCATGTTTTTATGGGTTTGCCAGCCATGTTCCATTTCTTTGAGCCATGGATTCCATATCTTGGCCATGAAAAGCCATATACAAACCGCAAACTTGTTTACATAGTCACATGCATGTGTTACCCAAATATCTAATTTTACCCTAAAAAAGCCCAATCATACAGCAACACTAACATTTATCTTTACTTAAGTCGCAACTGAACAAGTGACAATGCAGTCTGACCGCTCTGATGTAACTGCAACTATGCAATCTTCCAGGAAATGTTTTGAGTTGACTTATTGTTAATACATTCTGCAGGATATTTTGGCAGGAACGTTGAAGTAATGCATATTTTGAAAGTTGAAAATTTTATGAATCGACATGTTTGTGAACTGCAAACTGCAATTTTTTCAATCAAACAAAAATACATGACATTAGAGCCACAAGATTTTATAGGTACTGAAATTAAATGATGTCAGAGCTGCAATGTTTCAGAAAAAGGTGGGGTTTTCCCAACCTGATTTCAGTGTTTTTCATTTTTATATTCATTGACTCATTTGAGTGTAATGTAAGAATTCCTTACATTATCCATGGCACATTACTAATAATTAATTATATTCTGAATTTTCAGCAGATCAAAACAGAATTGAAGATCTTATGATTAATTCAGTTGCAAAGAAGTTGCATTTTCCCCAGGGTGCAGAAAGTGGGTGAATATTGCAATATCTTTGGCAATTTATCAGCAGCAAAATTAATGCCTTCAGAAGATCTTGCTGACACATTTGGATTGAAATTATTGCATTTTTGATATTTGCCAGTCTTTGGGCAACTATTTATAAAATAGTTGAAAATTTGAATGCAAGCGTCCACAGTAAGGTTTCTGCCTTCCGGTACGTTGGATGGATCAGGATGCAGTGAAGGTTGTCCAGAATCAGTTGCAATGAGTGCAAGTGTTGCAGTGCATGGAGAGTAAGAGATATACTATGAAAGTTTTTAGAAGCATTTTCTTAATAAAAATTACCCAGCGACTCATCATGGAAATGGCAGGCATTGCTTTAGGCTATAAATCCATGTATTGGAGATGCTGAGCCTGCTTACACCCTCTGCACCCATTTTCCACTTGAGTCTGCTGGTAAGTTCATGCCAATCATGCCTTCATGGTTGAGTGGAGAAATGTAGATCCAGTTGGTTTTCCATAGGGTAAACGCGGTATATTCCGACACATTAAGGACGTAGCAAAAAATGAATGGCTATAAAAAAATCACCATATGGGCAACTCGAGTTCTGTTTGCTTTATGTCACTCACAAAACACTGCACTATGCGCCAGCAACAATGAAACGTCACAAACTGTTGCCATATTTATTTTAAAGCCTTTAGAATTCAAACCTACGCAATCCCTAAAATTCCGACGCTGTATGTGACTAAATTCGGCATACTGTGAGACTAATTCTGGCAGCGCTTCAAACTCTATTAATTTGTACTTCCGGCGCCCTGTGCTGGAATTCCGACACACTGTGTGAGGTGTATTGGAATACGACACAGCTCGGAACGAGCTTAATTAAAAATTTTAATTTTTGGACACAGCTCAGAATGAGCTGTGTGTGTCTAATTCCAAGCTGTGTCAGAATTAGTTTTTATGTGTTTAAAACTGTCGCTTAACTTAATCATCTATCAATTTATTTACCACTTAAAATCAGCAAATACAAGTATACTTAAAGGATTCCTAATATATTCACAGACTTATTTAAAAGTCTCAAACCATAATATTCTTTCTACACAAACAGCTAATCACTATTTGGTAGAGCAAGGTCATCTATCAACTTTGACACATTTTCCAATGTTCTCAGTGGGTGACCAGTGACGTGCACTGTCTCTCTTTGGATCTTAACATTTTCCCGCCAGATGGCCCAGACCTAGTGTTTTGGCAATAGTATGGCAGGCAGTAGCATGACGTCACTATTTCAACCATCAATGAATGCATGGAACTAAGACAAAGCTTAATATGAAGGAAAAAGTTGAGAAGTGTTGGAACTACCCACGATGTCGGAATATACCAAGTTTACCCTATGCTGTTGTTTTCCCAGGCTAGAATTCTAGCCTTCTAAGATAGTGTATAATGCATCTGTCATTTTTAGGTGGCTACATGTCCCTCTCCAGACTATAATTGGTTGTATCCAATATACTATGCCTATGTTAATAATGTTGGTATGTTAGTATGTACACTGGT